TTGTTGTGGTAATCATTTAAAAATATATACATATATCAAATCATCATGTTGTACATCTTAAATTTACAGTGTTATATGTCAATCATATTTCAATGAATTTGGGACTACAAAGAAACTAGAAGTCTCTGGAAAATGCAGTGGGGTGGATTGTCTAAATTTATCGCAGAAAGTAATATGTATTTTTCAGTATTTAGGAGGTGTTCACTCTTTGTTGAGCTATCTACATTATTAAAGGTTCTTTGTGTTGCATGCAAACCTATCCTGGCTTAGTATAAATAGGAAGACAAATAAACAAAAGATTTATTGACAATATGCTGAAGTTGCTTTCAGGGTCCTGGGAAGGACAGGACCCAGGACCACTCTTCAGAACTCAGTAGCAGAAGCACATAGATCTTTTATTCTAGACTAGAGCACTGCCATAATTGTCCTTGTGCTTTATGATTTTAGTCTTGTCATACTGTCCATGTTTAATGATTCTGGGAGCATCTTCCTGGTTCAGCTGGGTCGGGTCTGCCAATGGTTCAGTCCTCCATGACCAAGTGGGCAAGAACCACACCAGTGGCCACTGAGGACCCGCGTCTGTGTAATGAGGTGGTAGAAAAAGTGAAAAGCACTAGACTTTTCAAGGACTCCTCCATCCACCCTTTTCAAGTGTCTTCCAGGGCACTCTGCTATTCTATGAGAATAACAAAGACTGTGGGACAGCAATAACCTTGTCAATTAAAAAAAAAAAGGTCAGTTTTTAGTCTACTGGTCCAGGAGAGTGGGCTCAGATTTTTTGAAAGACTTTTCCAAAAAGGTTTCATGAAAGTTTTAGCTCTGAAATTTAGAGTTTTTAGGGGTTAAGAGCTTGTTCTTTGGAGTAAGGTTCAAATCCTCCTTCTGTCATTTACTGGCTGTGTAACTTTGGACTTATCACATTACCTGAACTTTAGTTTTCTCAATTAGAAATGTTCTTTGGTTATTCTGGATAATGCTAATTTTATACATTTCATATTTTTGGCATCGTTAAAAACTGTAAACATGCTTAGGAAAAATTACTCCCACCAATAAAATGCTTAATGCACTAGGATATGTGACCCCAAAGTAGACACATTTATTCTGGCGTCTAGACGCAAAAATGTAAACTCAAGGTGTTCGAAGTAAGCTGTGTTGGATTGAAGCCCAGGCCTGAATCCTGAGAATTTTCTGGGTGCTGCTTTGAGGCCTCTGTCCTGGAGGACTTGTGAAACCAAAGAACTGGAAAAGCAGGCTTTGGCTGCCCTTGGCTTGTTCTGGAGCCCTGTGGGTGTGTCCTTAGAAACAAACACAGGCCAGAGAGACGGAAACAATTACCAGCGGAGACAGTTTAAGACTTGAGGGAAAATACAAAGATATTTAAATCTTTTCTTTAATATTTGTATGCCTCTGCACTTTAGAATGTGAGATGATTAATAATGAAATCAACTACAATGCGTATTTGAAGAAACAAACAACAACAAGAAGAACGAAAATGCAAGATATAGAAGGCAAGAGTCAACAAGAGGGCTGAAGGGAGCACACACATACGTTAGACACCAGGACAAACTGAGTCATCAGCTTCACTTTGAGTGTCTGACTAGACAGGAAAAATAAATAGATGAAGTAGACCAAGCTACACAAATCTTATAATCAGAAAAGAGGAAGCGGTCCTTAGGGAAGGCACATTTTCTTCTTGCTATAAGTTCTAAAAGAAATTCTCAGCAGGCTTCCTGGAGTGGATATTGAGTGATGTCATGGCCGTCTGCAGGTTTGCTCATTAGCTACATGAGGTGTTCCTGTTAACTTTATTTATTCCTAGCTCCCTCCCTAGGAAGTTCTTACTCAGTAAGTCTAAATATGGCTTCTGGTATGTCCAAGTATATTTTTTCTTAATTCAAAAAATGTATATAGACGTTAAAAATTCACAAAGTGCTTTCCCATCTTTTACTTCTTTGATAATCTTAATAGTCTAGTGAGGCTCATTAGATTCTTTTCTTGTTTGTTTTAACACAAAAAAGGAAATTTATACTTTAAGATGTCAAATGACCTAAGATACTGGGAGACTTGAGCCCCCATGATTTCAAGTGATGCAGGACATTAGAAGTTAAGATTGTATAAGTCTGTTAACATAAGGAAATCATGCCAATGTGATTGAGCAGAAGTTGGGAGACTCTCAGACTAATTAGGTGTCTAACTGTTGGATGATTTGCTTTTGAGAACTTGCCCCTTTCTGCTCATCATCTGAGACTGCATGCAGAAATTCAACTTCTTTGTAAAGCCCTCTTAATACCTACCCCTTCCTTCAGGTCTTCCTTTGTGACTCCTTTCTCCAAGGCATGGCCATGGCACTTTTACATAGAACTTTTTATTCTTTCCCTGCACAGTCCCCGGTTGCACCATGCTAGGTGATAGCCCAAGCTATAAACTTCTTAATGTTGGGATGGTGTTGCTCATCTTGGTAGCACCAGCAGAATCTGACTCATAGTAGGCATGGGTTAAATAAGCATTAAATGAATATGTAAGAAAGAGGCATATGTTGTAGGAGAAAGATGGAAAATCTATCTTTTAATCTACCTATCTCAATTTAGGAAATACCTAGAATACCACATTTTCTACTCGGCATTCCTGTGAATCACTAATTCTAAAATGAATTGCTTTTGATTAGATGAGGCAATTATCATGCAGATGCATCTTTTGAAACTGTTTATTAAATGAACAGTCACTGGGGTTTAAAGAGACACCTCTGATCAAACCATCCAAAATTTAATCTCTGCCTTAGAGACTTCCTTTTCCCTAGTCAAGGATTTTTTCAATCCCTAGAGAGAGCCATTCCTCTCTGCCCATAAGGGCATCTACAGTTGGTTCATGAATCCACTCAAGGCTTTTTTTATATGCAGTTAAATAAAAATTCTGGCATTAAGATCCGGATCAAGTTCCTAACATTTTTAAATATTAATGAGTAAAGTGAGACTCAAGGGGACCAACTGACTTCCCCTTAGTCACACAAACAATAAATGGCCAAGACAGAAGTTGAACTTACATCTTCTCTGTGCCTCTTGCTCTTTCTACTCATTCATGTTGCTTTGCCTATTGAACTGTCTCATACCTTGAGCCTCTAGGGTGGCACTCTGAAGAGTCAGGGTGTGGGCACCAATGATCCTGAAGGAGGTATGTACTGAATGCAGCCTGAATGAAGACAAAGGGTTAGAACACCTGCAACAGGAGGTAGGCTGTTCCCTGAGTAGATGGGAATGGAAAAATTCAAACATAAGTGAGTGTTTTTAGAAGCTTAGCTGGCTTTGGGGTGAGGTACAGGTGTGTCTGGGTTGGGTATATTTTGATTGCAATGCCTCAGCCTGATTTCCATCCTTAGAAGCTTATGGAAGAGAGTGGGCTAAATTCCAGAGTAATATGACAGTAGCTTTCTAAGCTTACACTAATCAATCCCTTGTTATGAAATGGAGCCAGTAGGGGAAAGGAGCATTCCCAGCCCAAATACAAAATAGAAGTTGGGAAAGGCCATGATTCTAGGAGATGCATGTAAGGTAACTCAGCTAACCCAAGGTGTAGTGTTTTATTTCCATGGGCACTAGAAGCATGCCTAAGATTACACAGTTTAATCACTATTTTCTACTGCCCCCTCCTACATGATTCTCTGTTCTCCAGTAGCTCTACTCATTAGTGGTTGAGCACAGACTCTGGAATCAGGTTACTTGAATTCAGATCTACCCCCTCCTCTCTTATTAACTTGGCCACATTAATTAAGCTCCCTGAGGCTTGGTTTTCTTATTTATAAAATTTAAGAATAACAGTACCTACTTTTCACAGGGAACATTAGAATTAAATTAGGTCCTACATATACAGCACTTAGCTTAATGCCTAAAACAGGTAATTACTTTCCCAGGTCTAACGTTTCTGTTATATTTCGATATCTATTTTCAGGAGAGAAGTGGATAAGGAAACAGAAGGTATCTCTGAGCACTCAAACCATACTGCACGGGAATCAAACTGTGCAGGATTAGAGAGCTTTCTAGTCCTTTCTCCTGGAATTAGGTTTGGCAAATCTCGTTCCTCTCATGAGTAACTCAACGCATGATTACAAGGGTCCTTAGATTTTAGTGCATACAAGCCCCTCACTTAACAGGTGGAAATTGCACAAATTAAGTTCCAAGCAGAGTTGTGACAGGATAAGGTCTCTGAATTTGCAGCTTAGTTGTTTCACCCCACAATTGTGCTTCTTCCCCTAAAAGAATTTTATTGAGTCAGTGATTTAAGATGATAAAAATACATCTATTTAAATTAATTTTTAAAAATGACTGCAAAAGTGACATTCTCCAGGAGCATCCATGTTGCTGCAAATGGCATTATTTTGTCTGTTTTTATGGCTGAGTAGTATTCCATTGTATAAATATACCACATCTTCTTTATCCAGTCACCTGTTGATGGACATTTAGGCTGTTTCCACGTTTTGGCTATTGTAAATAGTGCTGCTATGAACATTGGGGTGCAGGTGTCATCCTGAAGTAGGGTTCCTTCTGGATACAAGCCCAGGAGTGGGATTCTTGGGTCATACAATAAGTCTATTCCTAGTCTTTTGAGGAATCTCCACACTGTTTTCCACAGTGACTGCACCAAACTGCATTCCCACCAGCAGTGTAGGAGGGTTCCCCTTTCTTCACAGCCTCTCCAGCATTTGTCATTTGTGGATTTTTGACTGACGGCCATTCTGACTGGTGTGAGGTGAT